TCCCTTTCCTTTCTTTTCACCCATTTCTTTTCTTTGGAATCACCTTTCTGGGGTTTTTCTCTGAATTTTTTTCATGCTTGCTCCTTCTTCATTCTTTTCATATTTTTCTAATGTGTCTTAATTATCCTTCCTATCGGGACCATCTACATATGTACATATGGAGATACAAATAAGGAGATTATATGTGTGTATGTGTTTATGTAAATGTAATACATGCGACATTATAGGTAATAATATATAATACAGTCGTGTGTATATTTACTATAAGTACACATGCGCACAGATATACTTTTTTCTCCTGGAAGCCTCTATTAGTATAGATATAGAGGGTGGAAAACGTAAGAACTATTTCAGAAGCAGCGAAGGCCAACTCTAAAAGCAGGAGATGCGTTGGGAAGTGGCGGTGGACAGGAAGATTTCTGCCCTGCCAGATGGCAGCTGGGCTTTGGTGGCCGTTCTCAGTCCCCTCCGCTGACTACAAGAGTCGAGCTTTCCTTTTGCTTTTCTTTCTCGCTCTTGGCTGCTCCTGGCTTTGCTGCTCTGTCTCTGGTGTTTCTCCGAAGGCCCACGGCAGAGCTCCGGTACCGACTACGATGGTGCCGACCCTGGGCGAGAGGCATGAGGCACGGTGGCGAGGGGAAGGTGGGTGTCCCTAAGCAGAGCACCCTGGGCAGCATCCTTCTTGCGGCCCTCGGGGGCTCTGGGGTGTCTTTTGGAGGAGGCTGATGGGAGCACCACGGCGTTACCACCACTGGTTTTTACATTATCATTTTTCTTCATTCTTTATTAGCAACTATAATAAGTGTTACTCTTTTTTACATGAAAGCTGCACAAATAGGTGTTCCTGCGTAAGACTTTGAATTCACTTGCCTGGAACAAGTCCAACTCAGTAATCCTTTCAACGGCGAAGAATGGACGTGGGACTGTGCCTAAGAACCAGCTGGTTTACAACCGTCCCGCATCTCTGAAAGCTACTATAGACATTAACCACTGCAAAGTTAAAAATGGATATTTTTATATCTTAATGCAATATAAAATTACTCATTTTGCCTTCAGAGAAGTGTATTTTTCAATAAAGCAAATTTGTGTTCGTCTGACTTTCTTCTTGCTTTGCTCTCCTGCTTTGCAGACAAGCTTGGAAATCAGTGAGGCCATGATATACAGTATGAGTTTGTTTAATTTTCTCTATGGCGTGTGATAGTTTAAAATGTAGGCAATTAAATTTTCTCTTTACCATGTTACACAGATTTATTGGATAATATCTAGTGTCCATAGATACTTTTTTTTTCCCCAGGAAAGTGAGAGAGATGTCAATAATTCTGGAATTCTCTAGCTTAGATTTTATTATGAATTTTTTTTGGCCTAAAGGTAGCTAGTTGTGTCATATTTTTCCCTTTCTTTATTGCACAAACTATTTTCTGATTGAACTTCAACATTGTAGAAGACTTACGAAGTACTGATAATCTGGCTTTAAGAGGTCAATATGAATTTTAATTGTTTTTCTTCTTCTTGCAGATGTTCTTGAAGGCTACAATGGCACAATCTTTGCTTATGGACAGACATCATCAGGAAAAACACATACTATGGAGGTACAGTGGCAAAATTAAATCAGTGTGGTAGCTGCAGTAGAATTATATGTACCAATTACCTGAACAAACCAGCTATCTGGAGCACTTAGCTGTGAGTGACATATAAAAAGAGATCTGGGTATGTTTAGCTTCTACTGCCTTTTAAACTGTAGTATGTCTTTCAATGTGGGGCTTTTTTCAAGAGATGTCTACAGATATCTGGCTAAATTAACAAACGGTGAGTGAAAAATATCAAGTATAGTTTCTCCATATTTATCACAACAGTTTAGGTATGCGTATATTTTAAAGGATTTGAGTGAGATTTGTTAATCCACAAATGAAAACAGTGATAAGGGTCTGTAGAGTTCCCTTGGATGCAGGATTATGAAAATTCATGTCTTGGTTATTGGTTTTCTCATTTGCACTCCCCTTCTGGGAATACCACTCTTGCATGCTGCAGCACAGATGGATGAATTTGAGAATTGTTGCTTTGGAGAAGAAGAATACCAAATTATAGCAAGTTCCAGTGGCTGGAGTCTCAAGTCTGTTCGTATTTCTGCTATGTGAAGTGTGACAGTGTAATTTTTTTCCCTGTGTTTGTTTTTTTTTTTTTTTTAAACTCTTCAGTTAGAAGACATTTAGGTATTTTAGTCTCTTGCTAAAAAAGGAGGATCATTCAAGCATTTAATCCTCACATAGGATTGTTCCATCACAATGCTGTACAAGCTGGGGGTATATGTCTCAGAGCATTTCAGTTCAGCTGTGAACTTTAAACAGGAGGTCTACAGCAAAGTTTTGCTAAACGAAAGGAAAAAATGATCTTTCATTTGTTTAACAGCATCTGATGGTTTTGCTACATGATTAACACGAGTGACCTACCTAACCTGAAGGTTAAAGGAGAAGGAAAGTGATATTCTCTCGAGCCAGCAGGCCCTGGTGAAATTGCTGTTCGATTGCCACAGTTGCTTCTTTCCTGGAGGATGCAATAACTGATGCCTTACGTCTAATTAAGTCTGTCCTTGCGAGGATGGGGGAAATCACTAGCTCAGCCCTCACAGATGGCACAATGGCTGAGTAATCCACCAGCTCTGAATGTAATTAAATCAAAATGTCTGCAGGGCTTGAGCTGGTGCTTCCACATGGTGTGGGGAAAGATCTCTTAAAGCCAATTTATATGCAGAATTACAAGCTGCGATAAAGAAAATGATTGTAGAAAAATGGCGTTTTACTTCTTTAATAAAGAAAAAGCTGTCATTTTAAAGTGGAATCAAGTCTATATTCCTTTTTAATCCCCCCTTTTAACCTAACATCCTCTTGTAAAATTGCTAAAGTACGTTGTGGAAGAAAAAAAATAGTCTGAAGTTGAAGAAATAGTAAATCCTCTTGGTAAAGCTGTTATGGAGGATTTTCTGTGAAATGTGAAATGCTTCATAGTGTTAGTGTTAAGCTTAAACAGGACACGGTAGTATAATATAGCCAGGGCAGGCTTTCTGACATACTTAGGTCTTTTTCCTGTGCTAGATGCAACATTTATAGCAGGATAAATACCTTCTTAAAAATTACATATTTTTGCCCATAAGATTACACTGATGGGCTTTGACCTCATAGTAGAGTTTGCAATACTAGGTCCCTGTAGTTATTATGTCAGCATCCTGAAATAAAACAGCGCTGTCTCAAATGTTACACTTCACTAGCTACTGCCTGCCTGCTGTGTTTAAATGTGGATATTAATGTTCTTATTAAAATGAGAGGCTTTAATGAGCAGAGAACTCTCCATCCAGGTGCTTTGTGGAGTTTACGAACTGCAATGTCAGCATGGCAGCAGCAGCACTTTTCTCCAGACTCTTTCTGAGGTTACAGCTAAATCCATGAGAGTGGTTGGTTGGTTGGTTTTGTATTCTAGCTTGCCAGTGAATAGCCTACCTTTACCTTTCTCTTCCCTTCCAATTCATTGTCCCCATAAATTAAAGCGGGACCTACTTCAGTCATCTCTTGTTTTAATAGAAATCCATTTATAATAGAGTAAAAATGACTATTTTTCAATGCATCATGGACTGTTGGTGTTACAGCTTTTTAAGGATCTTAACTCTTTCTTCTTAAAACATTGAACGTGATCTTGCGTCACAGAAGTTTCTACCGACTTAAATAGTGAGAAGGCTTGAACCCAGGGAGTTGTAGAGGCAGTGGTTGAGTTACATGCACACTTAATCATGTTTCAGAGATTGATTTCTCTTCTGAGCTAGAGAAAGCTATGTAAAGGAAAGCATAATTATTACAGGGCTTGTTGGGGTTAGGAGAATGTTGAATTAAATACTTTGGTAAGTTGTCGCTGCCCCACAATTACTAGGGGATATGTTTACCTGGTGCAGTGATCCCAAAGCTGATGCACCTCTGCAACAAAGCTTTGAATTCAAACCATCCTTTGGCTGAGCTAACCACCCCGCTCCATCACAGCTACTATAGAAAAGGAGGCAGTGCATAGCTCTAGCGTTTCTGGTTCTGCAGTTGCCTTTGCCGCCTTAGGAATCGTGCGTTTCGCGGTACCTCGTAGCGTAGACGTACCTTTGGTTGGATTTGCATGCACTGAAGAAATATCAACAAACCTCTGTTTATCCTAGTTTAGGGAAAAACTCCTTTCCCCTCTTTGGGAAGACTCTCTCCGTGCAGTAATACAGGGTAGTCGGTTGGTTTCGGTGAGCTTTTCAAGGACTTTTTCCGGGGAAAAGGGATGGGTAGCGTGAAAATTGTATTGCAGTCTCTGCTCAGTAACAGCGCTGCGTGGTGGAACCGAGTGCTGTGCTGGCAAGGTAAACCAAAGCCTTGGGGTTTGGTCTAAGTGTGTGTTTGGACATGGAAGTTTTCTCCACCATCAGGGATTTAGTTTATTTAACCACCCTCTTTTTCCTTCTCATAGTCTGAAATAAAAAGGTGTATCATATGACAAGGACTTTTTAGTTTTTGAGAAGCTTAATAGGTTGTTGGATATGGTGTAGCATTTAACTGCTTCCACTGCAGAAGGTAATATTATTTGTATAATATAAATAAAATAGTCATGCTTTAGATACAGCTGAGTGCTGCTTTATAGGGAAGGCAGTCAGCAATGTAACTGATTTATCTATATTCCCTTCCCTTTTTTTCCCCCAAAAGGCATATGTAATTTGAGGGCAGAAACCCAGTAACTGCTTTACATACAGGCTTTGAGACAGAGGGAGAGATTATGTCGGTTATTCATGCTGAATTTCTTTCCTCCTAGATTGATGCTTAGAAGTTGACTGTCAGTTCACCAGCTTTAGCACAAAGAAAGCGATATCTAGGAACACTAGATTTGGGTATACTAATAAAGGCTGAGAAACTTGGAAAACAGGTCAATGTGACCCTTTAGTCATTCACAAACATGCATAATATTGAAAAACGTGTGTACGTGTATGATTTCCTTCCTGTTTTGCTAAAGAACTTCGGTGTTTAATAATTTTTAGCAATTACAGATCAAATCTGACTTCCCATGATTTGGAATTGTATGGTTACCCACTACATTTAAAAAAAAAAGAAAAATAATTCCCTACCACTGTTTGGAGTAAGGTGCTTTTTTGTGCTGCTATGGGCAGTATTACTTGGACAAAGATATATTCAAAAGGTATATTACAGTTTCTAGACGCTATTTTCTGATGGAGCCTTACGACTACTGACTTGTTATTACATATTTAAGCAATTTCATAAAACATTCAGAAATAACGATACAGTGCACACTGTAGTTAGAAAAGATTTTTATTTTGAGTTTATATTTCTATTCAGTTTTCAAGTGGTGGTCGCTTTCCTGTACGTGTCTGGCTTTTTCAAAAAGAGCAATGCAACTAAAAAGAGCCACACAGCCAGGGAAATTGTTAATTATAGTTAATAGTAATATAATAGTGAATAATAATATAATAATAATAGTTAATGTTCAGTTCTTGAAAGAGTAGAAGAAGGTAGTTGTGCAAGTTAACATGGAGAACGGTAGTGTTACCAAGGCACAGTTGTCTGGCAATAGGCCCAGCAAGCTCAGTTCAGAATACATCACTCGAATCCCCGAATCCCCGCAACCCAGATTTCCCTTTAGCTTTCTACCATAGTGGTGAAAGAGAAACAAAATACTTTAATACTTCTTGTTTCTGATGTGTTTCCAACTATCTGATTTAACTGGGAGAACCGGGCTATAATTTGTAGGTACGTTTGTGTTTATCCTTCTGTCTTTGGTCGGAGAGTGACAGTGTACATAGCGGCAGGACAGCACGCTCAGCACATGGCAGGAGCTGACAAAAGAAATAGGTTGCTCCGTCGGGTGAAGAGTGTTAACACGTCGAGTCGTTCTGCCACTTTGTCTGTGCGCTCATATCAAGCAAAATCCCCCCCACCCCAGAGCAGCAGACGCCTTCACAGGGACCCGCTGGAGGAAGGTGTGGTTGGACAAGGCTTTCTCCTCTCTTGTGCCTGAGCAAGGCTTTCCAAGTTACCGTTTGGTTTTGTGTCCGCAGGGAAAGCTGCACGACCCTCAGCTCATGGGAATCATTCCAAGAATTGCACATGACATCTTTGATCACATCTACTCCATGGATGAAAACCTGGAGTTTCATATAAAGGTAAATGCGGAATGGCGTGTTACGTAATGGGTCGGATGGAAGCAAGTTGAGCTGGATGGGAAATCCATATTCACGCTCTAGCGCTGCGCTGCAGAATTTTTTCTTCCTCCCTTTTATAATTCAAAACCCCATTATGTTACCGAGCCTATTTACTAGAAATAATCTGATACAGTTACTAGCCCTTGAGAGAAATTTTTCTTGAGTGTGTTTTCAGCTGAGGTTTGCTAGTCTGTTGATTGCCTTGTCTGTCACCACAGTTGATAGGTTAGCCGACATGGTAAGAAATCACTTATTTCACTGCAGCTTCTCCAGAGACTGTACCTTGGCCCCACCAGTTATGACCATAAATACCATTGATCTGCATGACATTTGAGACATGCATGACAGGTTGTTCCTACGTCGAGGATCTAAACAGTCCTCCAAAATACATGGGTTTGAGATGGAGGAAAGATGGCTTTGGGCAATTTACAGAAGGTTGTTTAGAAGTAATTTTTAGCTCAAAAGCTTATGTATGGGTTGCTTAAGATGGTGGTCTAAGTCTCGATTTGAACAACTACTATGGATTTCCATGTCCCTGTCTTGATCCCAGCCATACGATCTCTTAAATTTTTGGAGTGACCTTTAATTCCTACTGCTCATCCAGTCTCCTGGGGAGATCTCAGCCATGGGGGGGCATTGGTCCATCTGGCAGAGCTGGGGTCAGACTACAGCTTGCTTCCGAGCAGACATCAGTAAAATTACCCAGTGGACTGCAGGAAAAATGAATACTCCTCTGTGTCATCCCTCCCCAAAACCACACAAAATATACCTAGATGGCTTCAGTGAAGTTAGGTCACTGAGCACAGGCAGGATATTAAAACACTGTCCCTTCTCCTGCTGTGACCAGGTGATGCTCTCTGAGCGTGGAGCTCTCCTCCTCTGTCCCTCTTGTGCCTAAAAGTTAGAGATGAGTGACTCTTTAGTGCTGCTTGCATTAAAGCCCTTCTGAGGATATATATGTGTGTGTATATATCTATATTTTAATAATCTAGCAGAGTACCTCTGAACTAGCTCCTGCTCTTCTGGAAGGACTAGGTCATTTTGTGTTGGGAACCTTCTTAGCAGTGCCTGTTTGTGGGGGTGCTCACGAAGCACAGAGAGGAGCAGCAACCTTATGAAGTACAAATAAACCATCTAAATATTTTAAGACACCTTAAATTGTAACAGATTGAACTCCTTGAGAAGAAATGCCTCTGAATTTTCATACAAATGGCTTCCACAGGAGTGACACTGATTTCTTTTCATCATCTGTAAAGCTCTCCTGTGGCTATTGCTACTCTACATGATAGCACTTGGACGCCAACAGATGGGGACCCCCTTGTACAAGATGTAGTAAATTCCTATCCCGGCAGAAGATTATCACTTTATAAATCATGTTCTGCCAGCACTGAATTGTTTCTAGTGATTTCCTATCATAGTTGACGTTTATGAATATCTTAACAGAAAAGCTGCCTAAGTAGCAGTGAATGAGTGAGTGATTATACAAGGAGCTGTCATTGAGAGAAATGCATGTTCTGTCATTGGGAGCAAGAATTTAACCAAACTGTCACACTCTTTTAATAACTGAGCCGACGTTGAAAATTAATATCATTTTTTCTCTCCCTCTTTAATAGACACCCATTTAGAACAGGGCGGGGAACTTGGTGTCTTCTGTGTGTATTGGTCCTCAGCAGTGTGTTAATAGGATAATACAAGGCATGCGAGTTAAGTCTGGGTGAACCGGACTGTTGAAATGAGCTGGTCTAGAGGATGGCTTTAAATGGGACACAGGTGATGTAAATGCACAAAAGCAAAATATATCAGCAGTTATTACATAGGAAGATCAACTCAACTCTATAAAAGAACAGACATAATTTGTTTTTTACATGAGAGAAGATGATACTTTACTAAATAGCTAGAGTTTATTCATACCTAGAATTTAACCATCTAGTATTCTAGTTAAATAATCCCTGGATAAAGCCTATTTAGGGTACGGTTAGGCATCACGCCCCTAACACATTTCTGTTTGCTTCTGTGAGTTGAATACCCTTTTATTAAAAGAGTCATTCATTCATTCTCCCTCTAATTTTTGTTTGTTTGTGGTTTTTTTTGTTTTGTTTTTAGGACAATTGTCTCTCTCGTTACAGAAAAGCTAATTTTCAGTTTCTTCTTTGGGACTTGATTCAAGACAGAACTTTTACATATGCTTCATTTAAAAGTTTAATTTGATACATATTGCTTAGGCTTATGTAACTTGTATGTTAAACCACTGAAGCTGCTGTGTGTTTTTGTGCTGGTGAATAGCAGTATACGTCTTACAGTTGTCAAACTTGACCTTTCTCATGATGCAGGTGTACCGATAGGACAGTAGCTGAGTTGAGTTCATTCTCTTCAACACTTTTGTCAATTTTGCCTGTGTAAAAAAACAAAGCAAAACAAAAAACAACAAAAAAACCCCACCAAAAAACCAAGATTTGTGTGAAGTTTTTTTTGTATACTTTCCTGATGGATCATTGATAAATGGAGAAAGATCAGTGACTTGTAAATCATTCAAAATACAAGTAGGTTCACATAAAAGATGTAATTCAAATTATCTTGGAGGTGGGCTTTATTTTCAGTTTGGTGCTTTTTTTTTGACAGATACAGAGAGATAGGTGCAGAGATTTTTAAATCGCCAAAGTTTAACTTTGTAATGTTTATGATTACTTAATTAGGTTTCCTACTTTGAGATATATTTGGACAAAATAAGGGACCTACTTGATGGTAAGTTGCGCGTTTCTTCTGTGACTAACTTTTTTGGCTTGGTATCGTGCTTTGAATCAGTGCTTAAGGGGAAACAGTTACTTTCTTTGAGAGCGATTTAAATTTAAGCTGTATGACTGGGTTTATGAAAGAGAATTTTGCGGTTTAAGTCATCTGATCTCTGACTTTGTGCATCTACTTCTGCAGTGCTACTTAGCTTGATTATAAATTAGTGAGTACAGAGAATTTTACAGACTTCAGGGCAGGTCTGAGCCTCATTGGCAATGAATATTCTTCAAGTAAAATTGTAATTTTAAAACGTATATAGTGTTCTGTTGAGTTTTTGTTTTGGTTTCGTTTTTTTTTTCAGTTTGGAATATATTTGGTTCAACTTATTCCTTGCTTTGCTTCTGTTAGGTAGAGTTTGTTGGGAGTGATCTCTCTCTTTTACAGTTTGTGTGTCTGTATATGCGTACTGTATGTTAATGAAAGTGTGAATTGTATGTGTGGAATCAGTCTAAAGAAATGTATTCTAATGGTAACACAAAATCAGGAATATGTATCTCAGCGTTTTTGAATTCCAGTGAGTCGTTCTGTCTCTTTTGAAATTCTTGCTGCTTTGGCAGAATCCAGCTTGGTGTGTTTGTTTATTAATCCAAGCAATAAACAAAAGCTCTTGTGCTATTAAGTTAACTTTAAAGAAACAGGTACAAGATTGACAGAAGAAGAAACGAGTTTTATGTAACAGAAATATTGGTAGTTAATAAGGTGTGGGAAGCAGCTACAATCCTCATTTACAAATTTCATACATTCACGGTATTTGTCTGTCATACCTATAGCTGACATGTTATTACCGGTGGAATATTCCTAATGATCTCCATCTTTTTTCTAGTGTCAAAGACAAACCTCGCTGTACATGAAGATAAGAACAGAGTTCCATATGTTAAGGTACAAGGAAAATTTGATGCTCATTTTTAAATTCTTTCTCGCATATGCGTTTATTTATGCATTTCCATTTGTATCCCAGTGCGTTTGCTGAAATGAGTCAACTCATGTTCAGAGCCTTGCATGTACAAGTAGTATTGGTCCCTGGATTTAAACAGTTTCCTGAAATATCAATGGGCTTGAATCATGTTTGCTTTCTTTTCCTGACTTTAAACATTTACATTTTGTTAGTATGGTGTTAAATTTTAAGTATTCGTATTCCCACTTCATGTCAGATATGAAAGAGGACATCTTGAAGAATTTATTCTTTAATATTTTGTTGCATAGATGCTGCAATCACGCAATATTTTAGAACAGATTTGTTGGGTTAAGAATTTATGACTTCCTGGGCCTTCACTTAAGTGTAATATACTTGTTATGAACATATGTGAGCCTTAATAATATACATATAATATTGTCCTCTTTATTCTCATCCTGGGGAGGGCAAAAAAAAGTTGATAAAGTAATTCCTTCAGTAATATTGCATTAAGGCAGAGAACAAGGACTATGCGTCTTGTTTTGTAGTTTGAGAGAAGAAAAACTAATTTGGGTATGTAATCTAACCCAAATAGTAACAGAAATATATGGCGTATCATTCCATGTGTTCTACATATAGATTCATAGAATTATAGAGTGGTTTGGTTTGGAAGGGACCTTTGAGACCATCTCCTTCCAACCCCCCTGCCACCAGACCAAGTTGCCCAAAGCCCCAT